ATCAAACACTAGAAACTAAACTTGAGAATGATGTCACTGATCTGATGACCCTTGTGCTCTGCAAGGCCACGCCCCATTAGCAACAGGGGCAGCGACATTACTACTTACCGGGCAGCCCCTGCAGAACGTCACTATCCCTTCATGACTTCTGAGAATGAAGCCAAACCACAGCTTTCTGCTGTTACAGAACCTTACAGTGTCCTTGAATAATCTTGGGGATTTCCTGGGGATCCCCAGGTCTGAGAACTACTACCCTCAAAGGTGTGCTGACAGCCAAAACTCAGTCCACATTGGGATGAAGTCTTGTGTGGCTTGAGATAGCCACTGAGCAAACAAGTAGGGGATTTTACAGTGGAAGAGTTATAGGTGTTAGAGGGATCTGAGCAGGATTTCAAACGCGTGTGCTCAGTGTGATCCGACCAGGTCCGTGCTCCTGCTCCCTGCTCCTGCCTCCACACAGTCAAATGCTGGAAGCAGAACTACTGATTGTTAAGAATCTGGATTGTAGAAATATACCTCTCTGTCTCTGTCTCTCTCTTTCTCACTCTCGTGTGTGTGATTCTGAATTTCCAAATTATTTTCCCAGGATATCTGCTATGAGGTAATATTTTCTTTAAAAAGACTTGAAATGGGGGGGTGTATTTAAGAAGAGTTTTTTGGGGGGGGACAGAATAAAAAGTGAATATGATCAAAACACAAAATATAAAAATTTCAAAGACTTAATAGAATATATTTAAAATTCTTTTCTCCAGTATTTTTATTGTGATAACGTCAGCATAGCATAAAATTTTCATTTAATCATCTGTAGCTATACACTCATACTCTTCCACAACTGTCATCATGGTCCTTCTTCATAACCCTTTATTTTGTAAAAACTGAAACATTTATGCTTTCAATAACAGCTCTCTATTCCTCCATTCTCCCTGCCTTGGGGAGCTGAGTCCTTTCATAGTAAGTATCTCTGCACAACCCCTTTATGCCGGGCATTTGCAGAAAGTCTAGATGATGCCCAGGCTACTGGGTGGTGCTGTCTTTTACCAAAGATTCATTTCCACCACACGCTCACAGTTTCGCTAAAAGGTAGTTGATATGGTACTTCACAGGGTGAGCTCTGGAGCGGGCCTGCTCAATTTGATATTTTTCTCTCTTGAGACAAAGGCTTGCTGTGTAACCCATTCTGGCCTGACACTCACTGTGGAGAGAATAGATTGATGCTATTTTGGGTACCAGTATGCAGTGAGAGTACGGTGTTTTTAAATCTATGGGAAGGCACGTATGAGAAAGATGCACTGTCAAGCATCTGAAAGGCATGTGCAAGTTTTAGAGAGGAGGAGCATCCCAGGAACTGGTTATGGTAGTGATGATGAGGGAAATGCTGAAGGTGGGGGCTTTGTGGAGAAACAGAAATGTGTGTGTGTGTGTGTGCATGTGTATGTGTGTACGTGGGGAATATTTGTGAGTATGCGTGTGTATGTGAGTGTGTGTATGTATGTGTAAGTGTTTGTATGTGTTCACGCATGGGGGCTGTGTGCTGTGGGAGCTTGTGTGAAATAGCTTTAAAACACTATATGACATTACTAGATATACGCTATTTTGTGAACCACCAAAAGCAAAAACACACACTCAGCATACACACACCATGCTTGTCAGAATAATTCTCATCCATATGTAGAGGTTACTCCTTCTCTATTTGTGCAAAATGTGTGTATCACGGAATATATCAAATGTCATTTGAAATAAAGTTATTGGTTTTAAATATCACCTTTAAAGATACAGTATCAATCAGCTGTGGGTTCTCTGGCTCAACATGATGATCAGGGCATTTACACAAAAAGTGACACTGGGGCTCTTCCTCGGTGTCAGAGTGTTTGCAGAGACCCCCAGTACTGCCAATAGAAGAAAGATGATGGCAAGCTCACTGCGCTCCCCGCATACTCTTGGCGCTCCCCGCATACTCTTGATGCTCCCCGCACTGTGCTCCAGCTTCCCTCTGTGCCTCCTTTCCATCAGTTGGCACCTGCTGCTGTCTTCCAGAGGACTGCATCCGAGGTGCTGGATCTGCTTTCCCTCTGTGCAGAGAGCTGTGAGCACCTGCGTTTCAGGGTCACCCTAGGTGCCCTTAGCTGACACGTGACAGGTGTGGAGGTGTGAAAGGGTAGAACCTTATGCTTGAGTGGGGAACGGCCTCAGGCGTTACTTCTGTCTGAGTAAGATAGGGTGTCATCATGCGTATTTTGGAGATGGTGGGAGTCTGGAGGCTTTGCCGAATCTCCCGCCCTCTTGATCACTACACCTATCTAACATCACCATTTTGTCTTTGGAAAGACAGCCGCTGTATTGTGATTGTTTCCGTGGACAAACCAGACTGCACTTGGGAACTGCTATCCATTGACAGCTATCCTTGATGAAAAGATGTCATCAACAACTCCAACTCCTTTCCTTTTAGAGCCCACAGTGTAGTTTGGAGACGGGGTGGTGAAGCAATGAGTTCAGGGAGGAAAAGAATAGAATCCGGGCTGGAGCATTTACCCCCAATGGGAGCACCGGATGAGGTGGATCAGGTGAAGGCACAAGCCTTGGACTCAGACCCAGCTGAGAGTGAGCCCCAGCTGCTCTGACAAGCCCTGTGGTCCTCGACTTGCTCATCCCTTTCTGCTTTGGTATTCGCATCTGAAAGATGGAGGCCATAGTGTTTATTTTATCGGATTGAAAGAGTTTGTAAAAAAATATAAGGGGGAACATAAAATGCTAATACATACCTGGTATAGTATGCACTAAACCAACTGAATTTGTTTTGGTTTTCTTTTTCTTTTCATTTGTTTATTTGCAGTGAGTGAGTGTGTGTGTGTGTGAGAGAGTGTGTGTGTGTGTGTGTGCATGTGCGTGTGCTCACAGGCATATGTGCACCTGCTCATGTGGGAACTTGAAGTTGATGTTGGGAGTCTTCCTTGATGAGCCATCCACGTTCTTCTTTGAAGCAGGGTCTCTTAATCAAATCCAGAGCTGACCGGCATGACTCATTTGTCTAGCCAGCATTATCTAGGGTTCTCTGTCCTCCACCTTTGGAGACTGGAGTTCCAGGCATGCCGCCATCCAGCATTTCCGTGGGTTCTATAGATCTCGCGGAAGTCCTTTGCTCATGCAGAAAATGCACTAACTGCTGAGCCATCTCCCTAGTCCATTGGTTTTTTCAATGAATTTTAATTTTCAGTTAAAGCAGGCAGAGCCTGGTGCACAGTATGTATTATACTCCGTAATCCATGTAGAAATAAAGGATCACTCTCTGCAAACGTGAATGATGTTTTAAGATGGTTGTGAGCCTTGCTTTCGGCCACACCTGGTGAGTAAACTTCACTCTGAGAACTACTGCTTGCAACCCAAGTGTTGTTTTTGTATTAGTTAGCATGACATCACTGCAAGTATCTAAGAGGATTTTGAAGGAAGAGTTTCTTTTAGGGGCACTCCAGATGTTGTACTCTGTGGTCAGCTGACCCTGTTGTCTGTGAGTCCGCGATCAGGCAGAGAGAGCAACATGGCACCAGTGTGTGGTAGGGCAGGGAAGCAGACGGCAAGAAGGAAAGGAGGACCCTGGCACAAGGCTGCCCACAAGCAAGCAGTGACTACGTCTTCCAGATAGGACCTGCTTGGGAAAGAAGCATCACTTCTAATGTGCCGTCAATTACGTATCCACCATCGAATGTCTGCATTTGAGGACAGCAGAGATAAACCTGGAGGACTTGCTGGTGGAGCTGTGAAGGCCCATCGCCCGGGCTTTCCTCTTCCGTTCGGGCTGGGGTGAGCTCTGATAGGGAAGACCTCCACAAACAAAATGTGTGTTCTAATTCTGTGATTCCACATAAACTCACTTGATTAGCTGTCAGCTTCCTACAGACACAGCTGCGGTGGGAAGGGAGACTCCATGGGAAGTGTCTTTGGGAGACTTTTGTGGACATCAAGTGTGGGGGCAGGGAAAATGCATCGTGACAGGTGGCATGGCATGAGAACTGACCAGTGAGTTGTTCAGGGGACAGAATGAGAGATGGGACTTCTTCTAGTCCCCGTCCAGCTGTGCCTTCACTGTGTATAGATGCATGTCTTGTGAGTCTGTACATGTCTGTGTGTCTGTGAATCAGGATATAACCTTACAGGTTTTTAAAAAATATTTTTTAAATTCTTGAAGAATTTCTTACCGTGTGTTTTGATCATAATCATTCCCTTCCGTCAGCTCCCCCCAGACTCATCCCTACCTCCTCACCCACCCAACTTTGTGCCCTCCCCTTTAAAAAAAAAACTCATCAAATCTGTCCAGCGTGTGCTGGCCAAATACTCGGGTGTAGGGCTTGTCTTGAAACATAGCTGTCCCATCGGAGGTCATAATTGTAACTGAAACTGACCCTGCTCCTCCCAGTAGCTATTAATCACTAGTAGCTCCTTAGCTAGGAATAGGACTTTCTGCCCACCTCCCCTCCACATCCCCACCCCCATCTCCATGCTGAGATGTTTTTCTAGCTCCAGCTTGCCTGGGTTTCCGGGTTTTATGCATGTTGTCACAACCACTGTGACTTCATTTGTGTAGCTGTCCTGCTCTCTCCGGGATAAAATTTTCTTATTGTCATCCACCCACCTCCGGCTCTTCAAGCTTCCTTGATTATCTCTGAGTCTTGGGGAAGCCTTTTGAGATGCATTGTTTTTGTTTTAAAAGGTGGAAGGGAGTTAGCTTCATTCTCAGTAGAATACCTGAGCAACGTTACCCTACAAGCAAAGTTCTTTAAAATAAAAACTACAGTAGCAACCTTGGTTAGCTACTCCAGGTGTGGTTTGTACTTGAGCAAAGAAACAGCCTAGTGTGCTCACGTGTGTGTGCTAGCAAAGCAAGAAAAGTGCATTCTGTGTCTTTCTGTGTCTGTCTGCTGCAGTGTGGAGTAGTGAAAAGGGGCCAAGAGCTGAGTGATGGAAGATGAAAGGAATAATGAGCATCTCTTCTGGTTCTTGCCATACAGATCTATTCGGAACCACGGGTAAGTGATGCCCTTAGAGCTGAGCTGCTGAACACTCGTGGACACTCCCCTGCTGCACGTTGGCCATCAGCTGAGACAACATGGAAGACTCCTACAAGGATAGGACCTCACTGATGAAGGGTGCCAAGGACATTGCCAAAGAGGTGAAGAAGCAAACGGTGAAGAAGGTGAGCCAGGCAGTGGACCGGGCCCAGGATGAATACACCCAGCGGTCCTACAGTCGGTTCCAGGATGAAGAGGAGGACGACGACTACTACCCGCCCGGAGAAACCTACAGCGGGGAGGCCAACGATGACGAGGGCTCCAGCGAGGCCACGGAGGGCCATGACGAAGAGGATGAGATCTATGAAGGGGAGTACCAGGGCATCCCCAGCATGAGCCAGGGGAAGGACAGCATAGTGTCGGTGGGACAGCCCAAAAGAGATGAGTTCAAGGACCGCCGAGAGCTGGAGTCAGAGCGGAGGGCTGACGAGGAAGAGCTGGCCCAGCAGTATGAGCTGATCATCCAGGAGTGTGGCCACGGTCGTTTCCAGTGGGCCCTTTTCTTTGTCCTGGGCATGGCTCTCATGGCGGATGGTGTGGAGGTGTTTGTGGTGGGCTTCGTGCTACCCAGTGCAGAGACAGACCTCTGCATACCGAATTCAGGATCCGGATGGCTAGGTGAGTGTTTTATGTCAGCGAGACAGCTCTGAAATCGCTTTTAATTATGGAGCCCAGAGTAAATAACACTCATCTAGAGAACTGCATTTTTTTTTAATGAGAAATCTTATAAGTACAAAAAAAAAATAGAAAAATTGTGTCATGAGCACCTGTACAGAATCTTACCTGGGTTTGGTAGCTAACTTTTCTGACGTTCTCTTCATGTTTTATATATTCATCAATACAGCCTATTTGTGAGCATTTTAAAGTAAGTTAGAGAAATGTATTTCAAGCTACTCTAGCAGAAGTCATGAGCCATTTAATGAGAAGGGTGTCACTAATTGGTATGTAACTGTTATAAAATCTACACATGCACATAGCTCTGACATCATTAGCGATACAGTCTTGTAGGTCACCATTGTGGATACAGCCTTTCCTTTACCAAAACGTTAGTGTATGTTACATGGGTACATGACAGTAGAGACCTGCATTGGTGGCTCCTTTACTGATGCCTCAGGTAAGGCTGGGGATGGAGTTCAGCGGCAGAGCACTTGCCAAGCACGTGAAAAACCCTGGTTTCCATCCCCAGTATCTTTATAGGAAACTCACTTGATAATTTTCTAAATAGAGGTTGATTCTATGAAACTCATGAGTGTTGATTTCAGATATTACATCTAATACCGTCACTTAGTGTCAGAACACTGATACATATTTTTCCTATGATCTATGAGAGTATTTGCTTGTTTTTTTTTCCTAATTAGCTTTCTACATAGAATTTTCTATAGATGATTTTAAAATTGTTTTGGGGGTTTGTATCTTCATTTCTAAACTGGACAAACTTCATTCTCTAATATAATTTTAAAATTGACTTCAAATGTTATTAGTCATTCAATTTTATGTGTTGAGATATGACTTCTGTAAGGTATCTAGGCAACAGACTTGGTTTTTATATTCAGTTCACCATACACAGAAGGATCTTTTGTGGAGAGGTTCATTCTCTTGCGGTAAACTGGAGGAGCAGACATACACAGTTTTTTTTTGTTTTTTTGTTTGTTTGTTTGTTTGTTTTTTTGAGACAGGGTTTCTCCGTAGCTTTTGGTTTCTGTCCTGGAACTAGCTCTTAGCTCTTGTAGACCAGGCTAGCCTTGAACTCACAGAGATCCGCATGCCTTTAATCCCAGCACTCGGGAGACATACAGAGTTTAAGGGCCATGTCAACTACTTGATACACTAAGTCAGAAAGATTTTCAAACTCCTCTTAGAAATTCTGCCTCAGCACTGGAGAGAGGGCTCAGCTATTAAGATTACTGGCTGCTCTTCCAGAGGTCCTGAGTTCAATTCCCAGTAACCACATGGTGGCTCACAACCATCTATAGTGGTATCTGATGCCCCTTTATGATATAAAGTCATACATGTAGATAGAGCGCTCATATCTACACAAAATAAAGAAATCTTGAAAGAAAGAAAGAAAGAAAGAAAGGAAGAAAGAAAGAAAGAAAGGAAGGAAGGAAGGAAGAAAATGAAAGTCTGTCTCAAAGAACATGCTTGAATAGATGAAAATCTTACACAATCAGAATACTGCTGTCTATATTTCCAGGAGACTTCTATAAACAAAGCTTGAGAAATTGAGAACATAGTTGTTTATTAGATAATGTCATGATCATTGATGCAAAGAAATGTGTGTGGCTAGATGAAATTTCCCAGCTTCCTCTCTGGCACCACAAGAGAAAGTCACAAAGGAGAGGATGGTTTAATTCCTTTAAAGAGTTTTATTCTTTAAATTAGCTCCTGTGTGTGTGTGTGTGTGTTTATTTATTTCCTCCTGTGTAAATGGAAGCACCGGGTCCATGAAAGCAGACTGTGAAGGGTCACAGGTGGGAACTGGCGAATAACTTGCCTGTCTTTGCTGATAGACTCAAGTGTGTGTTCAGCCATCAAAAGGCAGACCTCACTGTGCTTCAGAGGAGAAAGCTTAGCTAGTCATCAAATTGATTTTTCTCAGCAGAGCTCATGTATCTGACACTGTGTTTTGATTTGCTGGTTTTCTTTTCCTTTGGTAGGCAGATGTATTAGTATGGGCCTAATTAGTCAGGAATTTTCAAGATTTGCCAAAGGATGTATCTATCAGCAGAATGTTTCAAGTTAAAGCCTAAGAATTATATCCACATCGGTACTTAATCACTGAAGTGTTAAATTTGGAAGGAAACCTTGTTCAAGCTATAGCACCAGCTTTTATGTTAGAGTTATTGCAGGAAAACCCACACCAGTCTTGCCCTTCTTCCTTTACTCATGCACAACATTGCATAGGGTTCCCGTATCAATCGGTCACAGAAGCCAGCACCCATGATGACACACGTCTGCAGGTGGCATTGTCAAGTGTAGATAGCAAGGCAGAAGAAGAGGTTCCTGGATTGTTTCATCTGTCTGTGAATGCTGCCCTTCAGTGACTTGCAACTGCGCCCTCAGAAGGACTTGTTTTCACACAAGGGTGTGAGTCCCTAGCGGAAGCTGGTTTTTATGGTTTCATGGCTCTGTCTTCCAGACTTGCATTTCAATTATTCTGCCATTGTAATTTCACTCATAATTGCGGTCTAACAGAGTCTCTTTAGACAAGCATTTAAATTGTTTTGCCATTTTCATTTCATCGGCTAATGGCTTTGTAATATCATTACCACGCTAAGTCATAGCAATGGGATCAAAACCAGAAAAGAAAGATGCGTGACCCATGCTTGGTGGCATTTTGTGGATATGGATTTGCAAAATAAATTTTCATTTGCTACGAAGCATCATGTCAGTTTTCTCAAAGAAAACCAGATACGAAATATGACCCAGTTCATGTTTTAATTATTTATGGGGTTGATTCTCTTTTGTGTTTGCCCAAAGATCGACTTAGGGTAACTCGGGCGTACTGTGTGTACATTTGTCTGTGTGCACAGATAACACTGTTAATTGGACCGGAAGAAGGGAGTGTAAATATTTAATTATCTAATGAGTCATTTCTTGCAGGAGTAAATGTTGTTCTTTAAGGTAGTTCACCCCCCGTTGCTAAAGTCGATTTATTGAACATTTGTGGCATGTGAAGCAGTGACACCATTGGGAATATAGGAGGAAAACAGAAAGGAGGACAGAGAGATGGGGAGAGGGAGAAGATTGATCTACCCTCAGAAACTAGAGTCTAGAAAGGAGAAACGGGCATGTCTGCAGATTCTCAGGACAAGGAAGCAAGTGTCAGCAGCCAGGGAAACAAGGCACACTCCTTACAGGGCAGGATCCTGAGTAAAGTCGTAGAGAGAAGATGACACAGATAAGGCAGGCACGCTCATTAGGGGGCAGGATCCTGAGTAAAGTCTAAAGAGGAGATGGGCGCTAGGCCAGAGACAGTCAGCAGGCATTAACTCATTGGTTCACCTGCAAGAGAGCACTTGGTCAGCAAGGAAATGCAGAACGCAGCTTTTAGCAGGAAGGAAATTCCCATTTTGTGCGGTCTCACTTTGGGGTCTTTAGGGAAGGTTGAAATGTCCTTGGGTTATTTCTCTATCTATCGTGGATGAAGTACCAAAGAGTTAGGAGCCATTGTGTTTAAGGTGACAGTGCCAACAGCCTTCACCAGGGCGACAGTGGTTTGTTTCCTGAAAATAATGCTTAGTCTTATGGCAAAGACAGAGCCTTGGAGTCTGGAAATGAATTTGTTGGCTGCTGCAAATGGCTTTGTACAAACACAGAGAACCGGGTTACCGATTCCTTAAGGCGGCATTTAGGTACGTGACCACAGATGTTAGATTTTCTGCCGTTGGTTACAAGGCAGGGTCCTCCCAGATGCCAGTCATCCTCCTTGGTGTCCTCTGCTGAGTCTCATCCTGAAGGTGTCCTCTGGGACCTGGCTGGCTTCCTTCCCACCCGGAGGCTAGTGAGTAAGCACACTGTGTCCTAAAGCTGTAATGCGATGTGGTCATTCGAGCTGCAGCCTGGCCCCAGCTCCAGCCTAGTGCAGAACAGCACCTACTGGCTGCCCTTCCCTCTCCTCCACATCAGTAGGGCGGGCCTCGTGCTCATAGACTTCCTTCTTCCTACATCCTCGTGGATCAGAGGACTCCGCATCTTTAGCTCTACTTGTTTAGGGTTCCAAAATTAAGTATTCAGGAATCAAAACATTATTGTGGCCATGGTAGATACAAAATTGTTGGAAAACTCAAGAACATCCTTGATAACTAATATTGAATATTTAATCATTAAGCATCCTGTTTGTGTTTCTTTGTCCTTTTCGAGGCAAACTGTAACTATAATCTTTAAATCTCACACGCAGTGATAATTTTGAAGACATGATAATTTTGAGGACAGGAGTTTTAAAAAGCATAATTTGGAAAGAACCAGGCTCTAGGGAAACTGAAGGAGTAAACAGTGTTAAGGAAAAGGGAAACACCCTCCTCCCAAGGTTCAGGAGACATCAGAGAAGAGGGAGAGGAGAGCGTTTAAGAAATAGAAGATGGATGGCCAGGTGATGGTTGTGCACACCTTTAATCCCAGCACTCAGGAGGCAGAGGCAGGCGTACCTCTATGAGTTCAAGGCCAGCCTGGTCTACAAGAGCTAGTTTCAGGACAGGCTCCAGTGCTACAGAGAAACCCTGCCTCGAAAAATCAAGTAAATAAATAAATAAGAAGAAGAAATGGAAGATGGGGAAGAGTACCATGGCATGCCACCATTCAGAGATTGCATGGCTGTTGCAAATCATGAACACGTAGCAGCTATGACTACCTACACAAGATCAGGCCCTTCATGCTTCCGTCAAGAATAAAGGAGGTGCCCTTGAGGCCTCACCTCTTCTGGAGGCAGTGTTGTCTGCTAAGGTTTGCTAGAGGTGGGAGAAACCAGAGGGAAGCTAATTGGGGAAAAAAGGGGGTTCATGAAGAAAGAAAGGGAGAGAAAAGGGGGCAAAGAGGGCTAATAGAGTCGCTAGATATTGTGTATGTGTATGAGACTGTCAGAAATTTAAGATTAAAAACATATTAGGTGTATATGGGAG